AGCCCCCCCCCCCCCCTCCTTCTTTCATAAATATCTGAACTTGTATTCAAGATAAATTCATCCAAATACAGACAAGTGAACAAGCTTTAAGATGATACCAATAACTCTACATGCCCAAAAATTGACGAGAGCCTGATTCCACCACGCTGCCTCACATATAAATTCCTGGATACCTGGAGGTGTCATCTCTGACTCAGAGGTTGACGTGTAATGACCCTCCATTTTTCACGGTCGCGAGCTGCCGTTGCATATTCTGCCATTGCATATTCTGCCATATCCAGTCCAGCCCATCTTCTTATGCTGTCCATCCATGCTATTCTTTGCCTTCCTCTGGCTCTCCTGCCCCACACAAATTCAATAAAGCACCTCTTTCCCAATGGTCTCGAGTCTTTTTAGATGGCCATATTAACATATAAATATGTGCTATAAGTATTGGAAGATAGAGCTCCCCCACAGAGATCAATAAAAGCGGAGTTTGAGTCTTGAGCAGGACACTTTTCCTATCTCCACAGCTTGCGAGGTCTCTGGCCTGGACATGGCTTTCGTCCTTGACGCTTCTGGCAGCATTGACACATCCGAGTACAGACAGTCTAAAAAGTTTACGTCCGACGTTCTGCGAGACTTCAACGTGGCGGCAGACTCTGTCCGCGTTGCCTTGACAACCTTCAGCAATGGTGTAGTAGTAAGTATATCATTATCCTGTATTGTATTTTTCTACCTTTCATTTTGTCGAGCAGGGTGTCTTGTTTGCAGAATCTGCTACAACTCATTACTGTGTCCTTTTATATCCAGCTAATTCTGACTTTTTTGTGGTAGCACCACATCTCAAATGAAGATATTTGAGCTTTTTGTCTTTCCCTGAAGAGATATACTTCGATTCTTTGAGGAAGACATTGCTAGCATGCTGTCCACAGGTTCCAGCTTTCTTTTTAGGGGGGACATTGGTGCAGTCTGCACAGCCTGAGGTGGCCTTGGTGGGTGGTTGGCGGGTGCTCTGGTGTGGTTTACTTTTTCTTTCCTATCAAACATCTATCGTCCTTATCTCCCCTCCTTCTTTTTTATGTTTGTTACTCTCTTGTAACACCTCTAATCTTCTGGCGCTCATATGTCCGTATGCCGTTGCGAGTGCCGTAAACCCTTTACTAAAGCTAAAGCTAGTGAGTTGGTCTTGAAAAAGCAGCGTGCTTCTCAAAAATCTTGATTTATTAATTTACATTATACACCCATCCCCCTCCTACAGGAAAAGGGAAAGCCCTAATAGAAATAAACAACAAAAACAACAATAATAACAACAACAAAAAGGAAAACAACAACAAGAACAACAACGACAACAGCAACAAAACATCAGTAACTTAATTCATTTCACATGTATTTTCTCCTTTCTCAGAAGCTAATTTTGATATATTTCCTCAATTTTCTATATTACACAAAGGAGCAAATTGATTACCTCGAACTTCTGTATTCTCAGGGGCAAATTTTATCTCATTTCCTTGATATTTTTTGTTTGTTTTGTTTTGTTATTCCCAAGGTCAAATATTTTTTTTTTCCCTGATTTGCTATATTCTATAGAGCAAAATTAATTTTAACTCATTTGTTTGATTTTTGTCATTTAGCATGGGCAAATATTCATTTTTTTAAAAGTTGATTTGCTATATTCTCAGGAGCAAATTATAATTAAGTCCCTCTATTTTCTGTATTCTTTGGAGCAAGTTATAATTCATTCCCTTGATTTTCGGTATTCTCACGAGCAAATTATAATCCATTCCCTTGATTTTCTGTATTCTCAGGAGCAAATTATAATTAATTCCCCTTGATTTACTATATTCTCAATAGCAAATTATAATTAATTCCCTCTATTTTATGTATTCTCAGGAGCAAATTATAATTAATTCCCCCTGATTTTCTATATTCTCAATAGCAAATTATAATTAATCCCCCTTGATTTTCTATATTCTCAATAGCAAATGTGAGGCAGCGTGGTGGAATCAGGCTCTCGTCAATTTTTGGGCATGTAGAGTTATTGGTATCATCTTAAAGCTTGTTCACTTGTCCTTATTTACCTTGAATACAAGTCGGGGTATTTGCGAATGAAGGAGGTGGGGGTCACCAGTTTTCAGAGGTAAAATTAATGAGAAAATGGTCGCCAAAGATTAGTTATTTCCTTAGCTTAAGAGTCCGTGGTTACTGAAAATGTACATTTTTATGCCTTTAATCAACGTTTTTAAGAAAAATCCAAAAGAAATTAGTTTTTTAATGGGAATGAAAGGTGTTGAGCCAAAAAACAAAAATTTGATAAAAATTCACAAACCTGCGGAAAAATGCAAGTTTCTTCACTTTAATTATTTTGACGAGAGCCTGATTCCACCACGCTGCCTCACAAATTATAATTAATTCCCTCTATTTTCTGTATTCTCAGGAGCAAATTATAATCCATGCCCTCTATTTTCTGTATTCTCAGGAGCAAATTATAATTAATTCCCCTTGATTTTCTATATTCTCAATAGCAAATTATAATTGATTCCCTCTATTTCCTGTATTCCCAGGTGCAAATTATAATTAATTCCCTCTATTTCCTGTATTCTCAGGAGCAAATTATAATCCATTCCCATGATTTTCTGTATTCTCAGGAGCAAATTATAATCCATTCCCTTGATTTTCTGTATTTTCAGGAGCAAAATATAATCCATTCTCTCTATTTCCTGTATTCTCAGGAGCAAAATATAATTAATTCCCTCTATTTCCTGTATTCTCAGGAGCAAATTATAATCCATTCCCTTGATTTTCTGTATTCTCAGGAGCGAATTCATTTTCTGGACTACAACACGACGGAGTCACTGCGCAAGGCTGTGGACTCCATCGGCAAAAACAGCGGAGGGACAAACACTGCCGGCGCCCTGGACAGCCTCAGAACTAACACCTTCACAAAGAAGGTTTGTGTTCTTGTTGTAGTTTTGTTAGAGAGTCTTCTCTCGATCTCTCTCTCTCTCTCTCTCTCTCTCTCTCTCTCTCTCTCTCTCTCTCTCTCTGTGTGTGTCTTCCTTTCTCCTACCTTTCTCTCGCTCTTTCTCTCTTGATCTCTCTCTCTCTCTCTCTCTTGAAATCTCTCTTTCTCTCTGTATTTCTCTCTCCTCTCACTCTCTCTTTCACTCCCTCTCTCTCTCTCTCTGTCCCTCGCTCTGTCTCTCCCTGTCTCTCTCTTTGTCTGGTAGTTGTAAGTAAAGCTTTTGAATAAACATTAAAGTCTACGGTGTTTCTAAGGATAAATACATGCGCACATAAACACAGACACGCATGTATGCATACATACACACAAACACACACACACACACACACACACACACACACACACACTCAATCTCTCTCTTTCTCCATTTCTCT